ATCCACGGCTCAGCCACTTTCGAACTAGAAGAACAGCGTTGTTGAATAAGACTTTTAGGGGAGAAAATTATCATAAGATATGGAGGGATAATATTTTTGTACAAGATATGATTATGTTTGCCAGTTTATTGCATGCTTCTAAATGTTGGTTGTCTATGCACATGCCGCCTTTTGCCCGTCATTCAGGCTTAATGCTTCATGGTGTGCCTGTCAATGGATCTTTTCAATTTACTAATATTATATCCCCTAAGCAATCTTTTTGGCCTCCAGTACAATTGACCCTCCATGAGCCTGCCCCCATTTGTTTTCAAATTAAAGAGGGGAAAGAATCATGGGGCATATATCCAAACTGTCAATATACATTGAATTTCACTTTTAATAGCTCTTGTTCTCTTACAGGAACATACAGTGACCAATCTCAGTGCTATAGGAGTGACACCAGTGCATGGCTAATAAACTAGAAAGGAAGCCTACCATGCAGCTTGGAATCAGAATTCTTATATTCTTGGCTTCCGGATGGAAGTTGGCTTCGACATTTATTGATTTTAGTGATCCTTATAGTAGTTATTTGCGTTATTTTGTGTTGCTGTATACAATGTATTCCTTCTTTAATCTCTATATGTACTGCATGGTTCTCCCGTCAGCAGCCTGTTTCCGGCCTCACAAGAGTCGCTTATCTCGCTCGATATAACCGTATTGGTACTGACATATATGACTCTGATTAATAAAATAAAGAAAGAGGGCATGTGGGAGTCATAAAGCCATGGCAGAGGCTTGTAATATTGCAGGGTGCCCCCTGACCTCGGCTGACCAGCACTCTCTGCCTTACAATGTATAGAATGTATTGACCTTATATGGAGTTATGTTCCCCCTCTGGGCAGTAATTACCTTATATGGCGATGGGTGGGTAAAAGCCATGACCGGATGAGGTAACGTGAGACATTGGCAAACGGCCATACGACAGGAGGGAACAAAGGAGAATAAAATCGAAGGAGAGTGGTCGAAGGAGCTGCTCATACCATCCTGAAAATATTGCTGGCTCTCTGTGTCCTTTTTTTTTATGCTGTGCACCATTTAATGACGGCTGGACTTCCGTCAAACAGGACTTACAGAAATGCATTTTATTTGTGGACATTCTTTGCAAGATTACACACACACACACACACTCTTCTTAGGGGAAATTGCAAAAAAACAAACAAACCCCAAACCAAATATTAGGATATATTTTCACATGGATTTTAAAAAAATTGCAAACTGTTGCAAAAATGGGGTGAACTGAAGACTGGAAAAATGAGGAAGGGGGATTGACAGATTTGTATGTCGCTAGACAGAACATCAGTAGATGTGAAGAGTTTGAGAAAGTGGCTGTGTTCACAGCAGCTTTGAAGCAACTTTCCTATCATACAATCCCATTGGCTCCCAGTATGTTTCTGAGCACAATTCAAAGTGTTGGCGCTGACCTTTAAAGCCCTAAACAGCCCCGGTCCTGTATACCTGAAGGAGCGTCTCCATCCCCATCATTCAGCCCGGACACTGAGGTCCAGCGCCAAGAGCCTTCTAGCGGCTCCCTCACTGCAAGAAGCGAAGTTACAGGGAACCAGACAGAGGGCCTTCTTGGTAGTGGCACCCTTCCTGTGGAACACCCTCCCTTCAAGGAAATAAACAACTATACAACTTTCAGAAGACATCTGAAGGCAGCCCTGCATAGGGAAACTTTTTAATGTTTAATGTAAGAGTTATTTCTGGGTACCAGTTGCTGGTACCCGCAGGATGGGAGAGTGATGTTGCTCTCGGGTTCTGTTTGCAGGCTTCCCATGAGCATCTGGTTGGCCACAGGGAGAACAGGATTGGGCCACTGGCCTAATCCTGCAGGATTCTTCTTATGTTCTTATAGTCATTCCAGCAAAACGCAATGAATGTAGTGTGTTATGGGAGTTTTAATATGCTCTCAAACATTATACAACCTCTTGAAGTATCTTGGCATCTTCAAATTGCTTTTTGGGGGGACGGGAGGGTGTTTCAAACTGAACTTTTATAATAGAATGGGGGGGAACTACCCTTCACAGCGAAGTCCTGAAACCCATGTGTTTTGTGGTACGGAGAGATCTGTTATGATTCTTATCTTCACAAGCGCATGAAAAAATAGCGCCTTGTCCTCAACCTCCTTAAGAAGTTATTTAATAAAGAACTTGAAACCATTATCAATATTTACAAAAGAAATGCTCGAGAGCTGAGTTATGTGTTTTGAAATTCACAGAAGGCCACAGCCATTGAAGCAACAATGATAGGAAGTATAGCTGACATTTTCCAAATATAAAAACCAGATGATGGAAAGTTTAATTTCTGTGAATTTGGAGCAGTAGCTTAGCAGTCGACGTGAACCATGTGGGAATATTGGCTGCCCAGCAGGGTGTGCAAAGTGAAGAATGTCCTCTGCATTTGCAGGGGGAAAATGAGCTGCACATCATTCAACCAATTCCTCTAGGTTAAATGAGAAATTAGTCCTTTTCTCTGGAATTGCCATTCTTCATTCACTCCTTTTTTATGGTGAATCTGCATGACACTGTTGAAAAATTGCTGCATTGTAGTATTTTCTATACTGCCTTTTCATATTTTTCAGACCTAGTTTATTAAATGCCAATGCACTTTGAACACCAGCATGTCCAGTGTGGAGAAACAGAATTCTTTTGAGGTACTCCAGGTTTCCTGTGTCTTTAATTAAAAGCTTCTTGTTTGCAGATTCTGCCTGGTCCCCGCCCCCCTTTCTGCCGGGTGTGGCTGGGAAGCTAGCACAGAACTGTCTGCTAGTTGCTTGTCCCTTAAACTGCCTTTTATTGACACCTGGGGCTGCCAACATTCACCAAATTTCAGGGAAAGATCTAATGTTTATTGGATGGATTTCCCCCCTAAATTGATTTTTGAATTCTGAATTTATTGTTATTCACGTTTTATACTGTATTTTATGCTGTTTTTTGTTGCATCAATTAAAGGTAAAGGTAAAGGGACCCCTGACCATTAGGTCCAGTCGTGGCTGACTCTGGGGTTGCGGAGCTCATCTCGCTTTATTGGCTGAGGGAGCCGGCATACAGCTTCCGGGTCATGTGGCCAGCATGACTAAGCCGCTTCTGGCGAACCAGAGCAGCGCACGGAAACACCGTTTACCTGCCTGCCAGAGCAGTCCGTATTTATCTACTTGCACTTTGAGGTGCTTTTGAACTGCTAGGCTGGCAGGAGCAGGGACTGAGCAATGGGAGCTCACCCCTTCGCAGCAATTCAAACCGCCGCCCTTCTGATCAGCAAGTCCTAGGCTCTGTGGTTTAACCCACAGCGCCACCCGCGTCCCGTTGCAGCAATTGTTTTAAATTTGTTGTTAGCCGCCCTGAGCCCGGTTTTCTGAACCGGGAAAGGCGGGGTACAAATAAAAATTTATTATTTTTTATTATTCCAGAGGTGTGGTAGGGGAAAACGTACCCCCATCCCAAATGCTGTTCAGCCCTGTCACATGACCTAGCAAGCCAGCGGTAGTTTCACTGGCAAATAGCGTGGTGCAATTTAAACGCTTTCTAAAAGGCTTTTTTCTCCCTCTGCCAGGCCTAAGTTTGGAATAGGGGTGAATTGTACCAACGTTTACCCCAGCATAAATTACGCTGACTTCCTATAGTCTGGCTTGTTTTGCCTGTTGCCTCATGCAGAAAGCCCCAGGCTCAATGCTTGCTATCTCCAGCTAAAGGACCTGTGACAGGAAATACCTCAGCTGGAGACCCTGAAGAACTGTTGCCAACAGGATAGACAGTGTGTGGTGTAGTGGTTAGAGTGTCAGACTAGGACCTGGGAGACCAGGGTTCAAATCCCCATTCTCAGCCATGATTGCCACTGGGTGGCCTGGGACCAATCATTGCATATTAGTCTCACTTAAGATTGTTGTGGGAATTAAACGAGAAGGGAGAGAGCCATTTAGGCCACCTTGAACTCCTTGGATCAAAAGGTGGGATATACCATATTTTCCCGTGTATTGGACGTGGCTTTTTGACTCAAAAATCATGGCAAAAAACTGGGGTCGTCCAATACACGGATAGTGGCATGGGGGGGGGGGGAGAGAAGCTGCACGCCGCCAGCCAGCTTGTTGGCAGGAGCGCAACTTCCCCCGATGCCGCTGTGTGCGGGAAATGATCTAGGACAGCGGTTCTCAACCTGTGGGTCCCCAGATGTTGTTGGACTACAACTCCCATCTTCCCTAACCATTGGTCATGCTGGCTAGGAATGATGTAGTCCAACAACATCTGGGGACCCACAGGTTGAGAAACACTGATCTAGGAAGTGTTTCCTGCCTGCAGCTGTGGGGGGGGGGGAGAGGCTCAACAACTTTGGGCCATCTCCCCTCATTTTCCAAAAATTGAGTGTGGGTCTTATACATGGGGGCGTCCTATAGAAGAAAAAATATGGTAATTGCAATACTCAGTAAATTACATAGTTGAGTAGCTAGATGAATAGCCTGGCCTAGTTTGTAGTGCCTTCCTATGGAAGCGGAGGCGATTCATCACCCAACAAAAAGAAGATGCTGAGATGGGGGTAGTGACAGTGGGAGAATTTAAAAGTTAATCTATACTCACTCGTAAGGCATATGCAGGCCATAGTGTTTTAAATTATCTCTTTTTCACTGTCATGCTGCCTTTAAAAAATGGTTGTTTACCTAACATCTCTCACATCTTTCATGGCTTCCCAAAGTCCGTCCTTGGAAGTGACCAGTCGGTTAAAAACATAATCGTAAATCTCAGTGGGAAAACATCGGTTTGAACGTTCATGGCCGTTGCCGTCTTTGTCTTCTTGCTGACTTTGAGCGTAGGGCAAGTGGGAGGAAGAGAAAACAACCATGGATGAGGTTACAGAAGGAATCTATCTTTTAGCTGCAGAATAGCTTTGGAGTTGAGAGTGGCCACATGATGGGCTTGCAAGATGCAGAGCAAAATGGTAGGGAATGTGGGTCACAGAGGTGGGGAAGGACCGTAGCTCAGTAGTACAGCATCAGCCTTGCATGCAGAAGGTCCCAGGTTCTAATCCCCAGCATCTCTAGGTAGGGCTGGGGAAGACTCCCTGCCTGAAACCCTGGAAAGTCACTGTCAGTCAGGGTACTCAGTCCCAAGCATGAGGGACCAATGGGTCTGACTTGATGCGAGGCAGCTTCCTATGTTGTGCAATGGGTGGGCAAAGGTGAATGCCCGCTTCTCCAGGCAGCTGATCCGGAGCAGCAAATAGCTAGCGATTTAATTGATTATTGCTGTATTTTTACCACCAGAAAGAAGTAGGCCTACTTGCAGGATTTTCTGCCTCGGGTGGCAAAATAACCAGCCTCTACTTGGGCACTGTGTGCCTTGGCTTGTGGAAAGAGGGCGTTTGGTGGACAAAGCTTGCTGTTTTATCTCAAAATGTCTTGAGCCTGTGCTGCCCAGCTAGGTTTTTTTGTGTGCATTTTCTTTGCTCCCTACTTCTTCTCACCCTCATCTACTAGAACCATAGCTGTCAACTTTTCCCTTTTCTTGCGAGGAATCCTATTCGGAATAAGGGAATTTCCCTTTAAAAAAGGGAAAAGTTGACAGCTGTGACTAGAACATGGGTAGGCAAACTAAGGCCTGGGGCCCAGATCTGGCCCAATTGCCTTCTAAATCCGGCCTGTGGATGGTCCAGGAATCAGTGTGTTTTTGCATAAGTAGAATGTGTGCTTTTATTTAAAATGCACCTCTGGGTTATTTGTGGGGCCTGCCTAGTGTTTTTACATAAGGAGAATGTGTGCTTCTATTTAAAATGTATCTCTGGGTTATTTGTGGAGCCTGCCTAGTGTTTTTACATAAGGAGAATGTGTGCTTCTATTTAAAATGTATCTCTGGGTTATTTGTGGAGCATAGGAATTCATTCATTGTTTAGTCGTTTAGTCGTGTCCGACTCTTCGTGACCCCATGGACCAGAGCACGCCAGGCACTCCTGTTTTCCACTGCCTCCCGCAGTTTGGTCAGACTCATGTTTGTAGCTTCGAGAACACTGTCCAACCATCTCGTCCTCTGTCGTCCCTTTCTCCTTGTGCCCTCCATCTTTCCCAACATCAGGGTCTTTTCCAGGGAGTCTTCTCTTCTCATGAGGTGGCCAAAGTACTGGAGCCTCAGCTTCACGATCTGTCCCTCCAGTGAGCATCCAGGGCTAACCTCCCTAAGAATGGATGCGTTTGATCTTCTTGCACTCCATGGGACTCTCAAGAGTCTCCTCCAGCACCATAATTCAAAAGCATCAATTCTTCGGCGATCAGCCTTCTTTATGGTCCAGCTCTCACTTCCATACATCACTACCGGGAAAACCATGGCTTTAACAAAAGGACCTTTGTTGGCAAGGTGATGTCTCTGCTTTTTAAGATGCTGTCTAGGTTTGCCATCGCCTTTCTCCCAAGGAGCAGGCGTCTTTTAATTTCGTGACTGCTGTTTCGTGACTGCTGTTTCCTGCTTGGCAGGGGGTTGGACTCGATGGCCCTTGTGGTCTCTTCCAACTCTATGATTCTATGATCTGCAGTGATCATGGAGCCCAAGAATCTCTCACTGCCTCCATTTCTTCCCCTTCTATTTGCCAGGAGGTGATGGGCCCAGTGGCCTTGCCTTATACTGCCTTGCCTTGCCTTATTCATTCATTATTTTCGCCCAAAATATAGTCCGGCCCCCCACAAAGTCTGAGGGACAGTGGACCAGCCCCCTGCTGAAAAAGTTTGCTGTCCCCTGTTCTAGAACGTCTTCTTACTTCCTTATTGTGCTGGCTAGGACTCTAGCCATCTGGAAAACACCAGGTTAGGGAAGGCTGGTCTATTGGATGCTAGTAGCAGAAAGATCCTGAAACCTGCATATTCAGGTATCTCGGCTGTGGCTTTTCCACTTCAGATCCTAAGGCGAAAAGGTATTTTGGGAGGCAGAATGTTTCTCGCCAAAGGGAAAATTCAAATGTCTTTGCCCCCCTCTTATTACCACATGCACCCTGCTCTCAATTTTTTTAATGGCTCCTGCCCTGCTCATACCACCAAAGTGATTGAGGAGGAAAAGGCAGATAATCGTTCAGAGAAGCAGAATATTATTTAGGCCACATTCACACCTTACTTTTAAAGCACTAGAGTGCCACTTTAAGCAGTCACGGCTTCCCCCAAATAATTCTGGGAGCTGTAGTTCTTAAGGGTTCTGAGGGCTGTTAGGAGACCAAGAGTTGGTGTCACCAAAATTTCATGCAAAGAAGAAGCCACTCTGGGAACTGTAGTTGTGTGAGGGGAGTAAGAGGCCCTCTGACAACTCTCAGCACCTTTAACAAACTACAGTTCCCAGAATTCTTGGGGGGAAGCCGTGAATGTTTAAAGTGGTGTCATAGTGCTTTAAATATATGTTGTGAATGTGGCCTTAGAAAGACTGAGGGGAGACAGAAAGATTTTGGTGCTTCTACTTAATTCTTGATATTATATGACTAGTTGTGTGTGCGTGTGCTTCGACGGTGTGGCAGTGACGTAGTACTTCATGCCAACAGAGTGCAAAAGAATGAGTGGGAATGAGTCTGAGGGAATACAAAGCTGTCCTTTGACTGAGGTCCTCTGTAGTGTTTGCAGGGTGAGGCTCTCAATAAATCAACTACCAGCTGCTGGCCCGAGGGGTTAATTAGCTTCACACACTGCTGCCAACTGAAGGGAGTGGTGTTATAAGAGCTGGGAGAGTTCAGAGGGAAGCACGAGAGGTCTGGGAAGAGAGAGAAAGCAGTTCCTCCCAGAGGACATGCCATTCCAAGGCTGAGAGTTTCTGGTTTATAAAGGTTTTTGGTGTTGTTTTTTGTGGGCATTTGCGGCTTCAAGGGCCAGCTTGCAAATAACGTGCTCTGCCAATTGTACTGCTTCCGTCATGGTTTGGGAATGAGGGAAGCTCACTTTGTGTATGCACAGAGGCAATGATGCACTGACAATACAGGCTGAAGAGCAGGGGTGCTCAGTGACCGCTGAGAGTGGTAGGGTGGAAGGCAGGGAGGCCAACAGTAGGTGGCGCCAGAGCAAATGACAGTCAGAGTGAATTGGTCCTAGTCTCCGCCCCCTCATCATCTTCTTCCCTGCTGGATTCTTCAGGGCAACACTGCGAGTCTATGGTAGAGAAAACTGATAGGCTGTAAGTAGGAGGGCAAAACAACAACAACAAACCTATGGCTACTTGAAACATACTCAATAAACACACAAGACTTAACCGGCTGTACTTTTGAATAAGTAAGGTATACTATTCATTGTATCAAACTGTAGATTTCAATGGAAGTCTCAAAGTTCAATGAAAAAAAGCAGAAGACCCAGTGGATCAGTTCATGCATAAGGTCCATACATGTATAAGTGTCTATTCCACCTGTCTGTTCATCATCATAATAATAATAATAATAATAATAATTTATTATTTATACCCCGCCCATCTGGCTGGGCCTCCCCAGCCACTCTGAGCGGCTTCCATAGTAACCAAAAATACAGTAAAATATCACACATTAAAAACTTCCCTGAACAGGGCTGCATTAAGATGTCTTCTGAATGTCAGGTAGTTGTTTATCACTTTGACATCTGCTGGAAGGGCGTTCCACAGGGCGGGCACCACTACCGAGAACCCTCTGCCTGGTTCCCTGTAGCTTTGCTTCTCGCAATGAGGGAACCACCAGAAGGCCCTCGGCGCTGGACCTCAGTGTCCGGGCATAACGATGGGGGTGGAGACGCTCCTTCAAGTATACTGGACCGAGGCCGTTTAGGGCTTTAAAGGTCAACACCAACACTTTGAATTGTGCTCGGAAACGTACTGGGAGCCAATGTAGGTCTTTCAAGACCGGTGTTATATGGTCTCGGCGGCCGCCCCCAGTCACCAGTCTAGCTGCCGCATTCTGGATTAGTTGTAGTTTCCGAGTCACCTTCAAAGGTAGCCCCACGTAGAGTGCATTGCAGTAGTCCAAGCGGGAGATAACCAGAGCATGCACCACTCTGGCGAGACAGTCCACAGGCAGATAGGGTCTCAGCCTACGTACCAGATGGAGCTGGTAAACAGCTGCCCTGGACACAGATTTGACCTGTGCCTCCATGGACAGCTGTGAGTCCAAAATGACTCCCAGGCTGCGCACCTGGTCCTTCATAGAGTCCAATAATCCACACGATAATCCACACGAAGGGTTGTTATAGTTCCACAGAATCCTTTCACAAGAGTCTAAGACAAGGATTTCCAGAATATTAGCCTTGTTTCGCCATCCTAAGCTTCATTAGTAGAACAGGCTCTGGGTAATGCAAATAAATAAAATATCGTAATATCACACATAAGTATAGTCTGGCCCCCCACAAGGTCTGAGGGACAGTGGACTGGCCCCCTGCTGAAAAGGTTTGCTGACCCCTGTCTAACCACTACATCACACTGGGTGAATGTTCAATAAATAGGTCATCTGGAGGAACCCATAGCAACATATCTGTGAACCTTCTGTTTGGAGATCAAGGGAGACATTGTGGAGTTAAGTGCATAAGAACATAAGAAATGCCTGCTGGATCAGGCCAGTGAACCATCTAGCTCAGCATCCTGTTCTCACAGTGGCCAACCAGATCATAGCTGTCAACGCTTCCCTTTTTTAAAGGGAAATTCCCTTATTCCGAATAGAATTCCTCGCAAGAAAAGGGAAAAGTTGACAGCTATGAACCAGATGCCTGTGGGAAACTAGGGAACAGAACATGAGCACAAGAACACTTAGAATCATAGAACTATAGAGTTGATCGAGTGTCATCTATTCCAACCCCTTGCAATGCTTAAAAACCTCCATTGCTTGTTATCAGTTCCTACTCTCCACATGCAAATTAAAAGTGGAGCAACTGAATTCGAACCTGATTACCACCACCCCACCCCACATATTTGCTTTAGCCCCAATTGGAGTTTGGGAGAGCATTACAAATATCAGTGAAACGCCAAATTCACTTCTCTCAAATGCTCAATGTATTAACACAGCCATGTGATGATAAAGAGGGAAAATCTTGTTTTCCAACTTTTTTTTATTAAGAAAAATCTTTGCTCCAA